AGTCAGTAACAGAAAGATAACTGGAAAACACCCAAATATGTGGAAATTAAACAACATGCTTCTAAATAACACAGGATCAAAAAGAAATCTTAAGGGAACTTCAATAATACTTTGAAGTAAATGAATATGAAAACAAAACTAAATTTACCAGATATGACAAAAGCAGTACATAGAGTGAAATTTATAGCACTGAATGCATATGTTAGAAAAGAAGAGAGGTCTAAGATCAAGAGTCTTTTCCACATTTCAGAAAACTAGAAAAAGACCAAATTAGGGGTGCCTGGGTGGCTCAGTCCATTAAGCATCTGCCTTCAGCTCAGGTCATGATCCCAGGGTCCTGGGACTCAGCCCCGTGTCGGGCTCCCTGCTCGCCGGGAGCCTGCTTCTCCTTCTCCTCCCCACTTGTGCTCTCTCTCGCTCACTCTCTCTTAAATAAATAAAATCTTTTTTAAAAAAAGAGCAAATTAAGCTGTGAATTGTGCAGGACTGTTGAATCTCAGATCTGTACCTCTGAGACAAATAATGCAAGATATGTTAAGAAAAAAAAAGAAGAAGAAGAAGGTAGCGGGAGGGGAGGAATGAAGCGGGGGAAATTGGAGGGGTGGACAAACCATGAGAGAAGATGGACTCTGAAAAACAAACTGAGGGTTCTAGAGGGGAGGGGGGTGGGAGGATGGGTTGGCCTGGTGGTGGGTATTGAGGAGGGCACGTTCTGCATGGAGCACTGGGTGTTGTGCACGAACAACGAATCATGGAACACTTCATCTAGAACTAATGATGTAATGTACGGGGATTAACATAAGAATAAAAAAAAAAAAAAGAGCAAATTAAATCCAAAGTAAGCAGAAGAAATAATAAGAGATCAATGAAATTTAAATAAGAAATCAACAGAGTAAAATCAATGAAACCAGAAAGATCAATAAAATCAATAAGCCTCTAACCAAGCTAACTAAAAAAAAAGAGAACACAAATGACTAATCAGAAATGAAAAAAGTGGACACCACTACAGATCTAATGGACATCAAAAGGATAATACAGAAATATTATGAACAACTTTATGCCCACAAATTTGATTACCTAGACGAAATGGCCCAATTCCTAGAAAGACACAAGCTGTCAACATTCACGCAAGAAACTGACAATCTGAATAGGTCTGTATCTATTAAAGAAATTGAATTAACAATAACCTCCCAAAACAGAAAACACCAGGCCCAAATGGATTCACTGGTGAATTCTTTTTTTTTTCTTTAAAGATTTTATTTATTTATTTATTTATTTATTTATTTTAATTTAAATTTTTTTTTTTAAGATTTTATTTATTTATTTGACAGAGAGAGACACAGCGAGAGTGCATGAGAGGGGGGAGGGTCAGAGGGGGCAGCAGACTCCCTGCTGAGCAGGGAGCCCGATGCGGGACTCGATCCTGGGACTCCAGGATCATGACCTGAGCCGAAGGCAGTCGCTTAACCAACTCAGCCACCCAGGCGCCCTAAAGATTTTATTTATTTATTTGACAGAGAGAGACACAGCGAGAGAGGGAACACAAGTGGGGGGAGTGGGAGAGGGAGAAGCAGACTCCCCGTGGAGCAGGGAGCCCGATGCGGTCCTGGGATCATGACCTGAGCTGGAGGCAGATGCTTAAAGACTGAGCCACCCAGGCACCCCTCCCTGGTGAATTCTACCAAACATCAAAGGAAGAAATTATACCAATTCTCTACAATCTCTTTCAGAGGACAGAAGCAAAGCGGATACTTCCTAAGTCATTTTCTGAGGCCACCACCGTTCTAATACCAAAACTAGACAAAGACATTAAAGAAAAGAAAAACACAGACCAGGGCGCCTGGGTGGCTCAGTTGGTTAAGCAACTGCCTTCAGCTCAGGTCATGATCCTGGAGTCCCTGGATCGAGTCCCACATCGGGCTCCCTGCTCGGCAGGGAGTCTGCTTCTCCCTCTGACCTTCCCCCCTCTCATGTGTTCTCTCTCATTCTCTCTCTCTCAAATAAATAAATAAAATCTTTAAAAAAAAAAAAAGAAAAACACAGACCAGTAGCACTCATGTTAATAGACACAGAAATCCTCAAAAAAAATATTAGCAAATCAAATCCAACGATGTATAGTACACCACAAACAGAGAGATTTATCCTAGGTATGTATGCCGAGTCCAACATTCAAAAATCAATTAATGTAATCCATTATATTCACAGGCTAAAAAAGAAAAATCATATGATCCTATCACTAGATGCAGAAAAAGTACTTGACAAAATCCAACATTCATTCGTTATTAAAAACTCACAGTAAACTAGGAATAGAGGAGAATTTCCTCAACTTGATAAAAAATACCTACGAAATCCCCAGAACTAACATCACACTTGGTGTGAAACTTGAAGCTTTCCCACTAAAATCAGGTACAAGGAAAGGATGTCCTCTCCCAACACTCCTTTCCAACACTGTACTGGAAGTTCTACTGATGCAATTAGATGAGACAAGACAAGATAAAAAAATAGGTACAAATTGGGAAGAAAGAAATAAAACTTTGTTTGGAGATGACACAGTCATGTAATGGAGAAGATCCAAAAAGGACTAACAAAAATCTCCTGAAACTAATAAGCGATTATAGCAAGGTTGCAGGATACAAGGTTAATATACAAAAGGCATTCACTTTACTATAAACCAGCAATGAATGGGTGTAATTTGAAATAAACACAACACCATTTATATTAGCATTCCTCAAAATGAAGTACTTAGGTCTAACCTAACAAAATATGTACAAGATCTATATGAGGAAAACTGTAAACTGATGAGTGGAATCAAAAAAGAACTAAAAGAGAGATATTCCATGTATGTGGACAGAAAGACTCAATTTGTCAAGACATCAGTCTTCCCCCCACTTTATAGACCTAATGCAATTTCAGTCACGATCCCAGCAGGTTATTTTGTGGATATTGACAAACGGACTCTAAAATGTACATGGAGAGGGGCGCCTGGGTGGCTCAGATGGTTAAGTGTCTGCCTTCGGCTCAGGTCATGATCCCAAGGTCCTGGGATCGAGCCCCGCATCGGGCTCCCTGCTTGGCAGGGAGCCTGCTTCCCCCTTACCCTCCTACTGTTCCCCCAGCTTGTGCTCTCTTGCTCTCTCTGTCAAATAAATAAACAAAACCTTAAAAAAAAAAAAAAAAAGACTTTCTTAAAATGTATATGGAGAGGCAAAAGACTCAAAATAGCTTACACAATACTGCAGGAAAACAAAAGTAGAACACTGACACTACTTGACCTCAAGAGTTGCTCTAAAGCTATAGTAATTAAGACACTGTGGTACGGATGAAAGAACAAACAGATCAATAGAACAGAACAGATTGCCCAGAAACGGACCCACATAAATATAGTAATGATCTCTGACAAAGCAGCAAAGGTAAAACAATGGAGCAAAGACAGTCTTTTCAACAAATGGTGCTGGAACAACTAGACATTCACATGCAAAAGACCTTCAACTAAATTTTGCTATGTACCTAAAACTGCTCTAAAAAAAAGAAAAAAGAAAGTCCTATGGACTTTACAAAAAAGCCCTTAACAAATTAGTGAGTTTAGCAAGGTTGCGTGATCCAAGATCAATATACATAAATCAGTTGTACTTTTATACACTAGCGACAATCAGAAGTAGAGATTTTAAAATACCATTAATAAGAGAATAAAAACCATGAAATACTTAGGAATAAATCTGATAAAAAAACGTACAGGACATGCACAGTGTCATACATATGTCAAAACTTACTGAATCATACATTTTAAATATGTGCTATTTATGACATGTCAAGTATATCTCAGTAAAATTGTTTTTAAAAGGAATTAGAAAAGGGCGCCTGGGTGGCTCAGTTGGTTAAGCGACTGCCTTCGGCTCAGGTCATGATCCTGGAGTCCCAGGATCGAGTCCCGCATCGGGCTCCCTGCTCAGCAGGGAGTCTGCTTCTCCCTCTGACCCTCCCCCCTCTCATGTGCTCTCTCTCTCTCTCTCTCTCTCAAATAAATGAATAAATAAAATCTTTGAAAAAAAAAAAGGAATTAGAAAGAATAACGTATCTGTAATACACGAAAACCATGCACAAAAACAGGAACATGAAAAATGTCTATGACACACATTAAATAAAAAAAAGTAAAAGCTATGGCATATTACCTATATCATGATCTCACTGATGTAAAAATATGTGTGCTTACATGTGTATATGTGTGTAGAAAAAAAGCCCGAGGAAACACACCTTGATCTGTTTACAGTTTGAGACTGGAGAACCAATAAGGAGAGCTTTCCCCATTACACATCCCTGTATTGTTTGAACTTTCCATAACCAATCATGCATTACTTCTGCAATTTAAAAAAGAGAAGAACGTAAGAAACCAATTAGGCTTAAAAGGCACTGGACAAGATGAACTTGAAGGTAAAAGCCAAGTGGGTTTATTTTGTAGAAGAAAAAGGTGGGAGTGTTGTGTTTGGAGGATGAGTCCCACCAGGGAGTAAAGGGAGGGAGGCACGTACCTCGGATTCCCACCTGGGTGTATCAGTCAGAGCTGTGCGAGTGCTCCCCCCCACCAGTGGAGAATCACCACTTCCATGGGTCACCTTGATGGATGACACCATCTGTCTATATGCCTCAGGACCTGAGGCACAAAATCACCATTATTATTTATTTTTTTATTTTTTTTAAAGATTTTATTTATTCATTTGAGACACAGAGATACAGAGAGAGAGCATGAGCAGGGGAAGAGGCAGAGGGAGAGGGAGAAGCAGGCTCCCTGCTGAGCCAGTAGCCCGATGTGGGACTTGATCCCAGCACCCTGGGATCATGACCTGAGCCGAAGGCAGACACTGACCGACTGAGCCACCCAGGCGCCCCTCACCAAGAGTTTTAAAGGACCAACGGCTCTCCCTATGATCTTCAATGCATGTAAGGAACATTCAAGGCTGCAGTAAATATCTGACAAAGGCCCACACTCTTGGGGGGTTCAGTACCTTGGATAATTTTCTGCTGCTGTTGCCGGATTTCATCAAAACCCAAACCTCTGATCTCCTCCGGCTCCTCAAAGAGCCAAGGGTTGGGGACTCCTCGCTTAGCCCCTCCAGTCATCAGGCTGGACCTAGGAACAAGATTAAATGCGTTACATAACTCAAAAAATATAGCTCTGCTGCAAATTACTCCCCACACCATGCAGAGGTGGCCAGCCTCACATGCTCTGAAAATTCAATTCAACCACAATTTACTGCATCCTCCATTTATGCCAGCAACCGTGCCCAGTACTAGAAGAGGTACGAGGAAGAATGAGGCACAGGCCCGGTCCCCGGAGACTTACAGCCCGCTAAGGAGACTAGAGCAGCGCATAATACCCTCACTCATCTTCCAAGATACATTCGAGCCAATAATCATAAATGAGGGTCTTAAATTTCAAAAACATAAGGCCAAATAGAAGTGGTCTTTTTATTAGGACAAAGTCTGTCTCACAAGCTACGTAACACCAAAGGCACATGTATTATTTCTCAATAAGATACAATGTTGCGACCACAGATTACGGCATTTAAAAATGACCACAGAATTTCTTATTAAAGGGGGTTGGGTTGCGTACAGACAGAAACACATACAACGTTTCGAATCCAATCTCACAAATATAATGTGGCACTCCCAACATAATAAACAAATTCTGAATTATCAGTCTTAATCTCTACTCGCCCTAGTAGCCCACCCACCCCTTCTGCACCAGACATACTGGCCTCCTTGCTGTCCCAGGAACAGAAAACACACGTTTTCGGCCTCAGTCTACAGGACTTTCATCTCAAGTATCTCCTTTCCTGTCCCCACCTGCCCACATTCCGTCTAAGCCTCAAGGACCATCTTGTTCATGAAACCATCTCTGGCCATTTCAACCCACAAATGAACAGTCATTCATTTGGGAGTCTGGTTCATAGGATTCACAGAATAACCATAGCGGCGGTCAAAACAGCGGTTAAACGTAGCAAGCACACGCAGCGAGCACAGCTCCAGACGATGTGCACGCGTTCATTCACCTCTCCCTCACTTATAACCCCTCTAGCACTTTGCACAGTTCTCTTATTACCTGGAAATAACTGCTACCCTGTTGTTGAACCTTTTATGTAGCTGAGCCTCATGTCTACGAGATCGAAGGCAGGAACCGAAAGTCACCCTTGGCTGGACTCTACGCTGCTCCCCAACCCAGAGCAAGCAGCTGTCAACACAGGTTCAAATCCTGGCCCCACCACCTACCAGCAAATCTGGACAGCAAATTCTACCTCCGAGGGCTGCCGGGGAGTAAATAAGATAATCCATTTATCCAACAAACCTTTATTCGGTACTTAGTATGTGGTAGGCATTGTTCTCATTCGTGGGAATGAGGAAAAAATGGAATATAGGAGAAAGACCAAAATCTCTGTCCTGACAAGGTATGCATTTTTGTTACAGGTGCTGCTTCTATTCTGGTGGTGGCAGGTGGGAGGGAGACCAGGTGTGAAATGTGTAGAAAGCGTTCGATGCAGTTCTTGGAAGAGAAGAGTCATTCAACAAATGTCAACTAGTCTCGTTCTATCACTTAACGCACTGCATACACGAAGCAAATACTATGCTTTAATAAGGGAGTATACCCCCAAGGGGCTGTATCAACTGCATTTTTAGTCGAGCACTCTGGAACCTACAGAAGAAGATGCTACGTGGGGCGCCTGGGTGGCTCAGTCGTTAGGCATCTGCCTTCGGCTCGGGTCATGATCCCGGGGTCCTGGGACAGAGCCCGGCATCGGGTTCCCTGCTCAGCGGGGAGCCTGCTTCTCCCTCTCCCACTCCCCCTGCTTGTGCTCCCTCTCTCGCTGTATCTCTCTCTGTCAAATAAACAAATAAAATCTTCAAAAAGAAGAAGAAGAAGAAGATGCTACATTTAGAGAAACAAACCCAAGCAAGACTCCTTAGACTAAGATTTTAAACACAGGGCTGCCCTCTCTACTCAAGGGCACAAATGTGCCAAACAGAAGCACAACTTGCTTCCACCTTGTCAAAGTGGCAGATGTATTTCTTTAAAGCCTTACTTTACTTGGTGGGCCCCAAGGATCTAAGACGTCAAGATGCCGGATTTATTCCCTAGAGTAATCATTCAGTCTCACCTAACTCTGAAGATGGGGGGACGAAAGCATCGGAGAAGGGAAAGGAAGGGTGAGTTTACAAAGCGCATTCCTTGACTCTACCACTTCCCTGCAAGCACCACTCTGGTTCAAAATAGGACTCCTATGGGAGGTTGCGTATGGACCGCTGAAAAAAGCAAGTGCTAAAGACCAGTGCAATGGGGGGCGCCTGGGTGGCTCAGTCGGTTAAGCGTCTGCCTTTGGCTCGGGTCATGATCCCGGGGTCCTGGGATCGAGTCCCGCATCGGGCTCCCCCTGCCCAGCAGGGAGCCTGCTTCTCCCTCTCCCTCTGCCTGCCACTTCCCCTGCTTGTGCTCTCTCTCTTTCTCAGTGTCATATAAATAAAATCTTTAAAAAAATAAAATAAAACACACATTAAAAAAAAAAAAAGACCAGTGCAACGGGTCAGAGGTACATAGAGTAACCTCGGCAGTGCGTCTGTCCCCAGCTACGAGCAGCCACCCACCCAAATTAGTACATTGCACCTGCGCGGACAGCAGACGTTGTCCCTCCAAAGTTAAAGCTGGACTGTCCCCCTGGTGGCTCTTGCCACACCAAGAGCATATTTTTACAAACTACTGAAGGAGAAAATAAAACAGATGTAATAAAACTGATTGAGCATCTCAAAAACAACAAATGAGAACTACAGCCTTTACTTATATCTACATATATATTTAACACGTATTAGAGAATACGGTACAATGTGGGCACAGTTTAATATTAACATCAAACACACACGAGCCAGCAGACATACAGGAAAGATTTCCCGGGGCCGAAGGCAGAGCTATGAAGGCCCTAAGCACTGAAAGAACGGTTTTGGTCTCACTCACACAGTTCGATATAAAAGCAATAGTAAGCTGCGCTATGACTGGCCAAAGTAGACCAAAGTGAAAATTCTTCCCTAATGCCTCTCTCCTTGCACTGGAAGTTTGAAAAGAAAGTTTGGCAGTTCAAGGCTGACCTTCATCTATCTCTCCCCTTGGTGTTTATACTCTGTTGATGCCCCAACTCCAGTGGGAAACTCAGCAATGGATATGTCTTTACCTACGAGAGCTGGTAAGATCATAGGCATCAACGTATGCAGAAGACTTGATTTTCTTTCCGTTAGGTTTTACGTTCAAGCTAATATTTGGAATGATGCCTGTTATTACTCAGCACTCTCCTAGGTAAGAAGGAAAACGTGAAAGACTTTAAGACATGATTCCTGCTTTCAAAGAGTTTACCATCAAATTGAAAAGAGAAACTAACCACACACAAACGAATTGTTAACCAGAAGACCACAGTTAGCCTTGTTATCACTGGGCATTCCAACAACCTCTTCTGCTCTGTTCTTCTCACCCATAAAACAAGCAAACTAAGTAGGTCGATGATGTCCAACCTGCTTTCTGGCCCAACTCTGGAGGAAGTTCCTCATTATGAGTTCCTCATTAATAGGGAAGACTCACCTTGGGAGGGGGGGAGCAGGTGTTCTTTATAATCCTGCAGATGACTTTCTATCAGAAATCACTGAGTTAGATGAAGTACTAAATTGCATAAATAAGAGCAGGGAGGGGGAAAAAAAGAATATTTTTCCCACAAAAACCTATTCTCCTCTTCCCCCATTTTCCCAATTTTAATTCAAGAGCACGACTGACCCATTGGCTCAGGCCCAAAACCTTGGCATCAACTTTGACTCTTTCTTTCATACCCCACAGCATCTACTGCATCAGCAAATCTGTCAAAACATACCTAAGTCTGACCATTTCTTCTCATTCTATTGCTTCTACTCCATATCCCTTCCTGCTTCCTGCTTCTGCTCCCATCCTCCACAATCTACCAGGACCCTCAGCATAAAATGCAACACCTTTACTATAACCTACAAGCCACATTAGCTTCCTTACTGTTTCTAGAACACAGTGAGCACATTCTCATCTCAGGTCCTTCGCACCTGCTGTCCCCCCGGGTTAAAGCACTCTTCCCGCAGACAGCCACGTGGCCTTACCCCCTCACTCTATTCTCCTCTGCTGAAATATCACCTCCTCAGAGATGTGCCCCTGACCACTCTGTCTCTGGGGCGCCTGGGTGGCTCAGTCAGTTGTGTCTGACTCTTGATTTCGGCTCAGGTCATGATCTCGGGATCATGGGATCAAGTCCTGTGTTGGGCTCCGAGCTCAGCAGAGAGTCTGCTTGAGATTCTCTCTCCCTCTGCGCCCACCACACTCTCTCTCTCAAATAAATAAATCTTTAAAAATAAAATAAAATAAAATAAAATAGTACCCTTCCCTGTAACTCCTCAGCCCACCTCCTCATTTTGCCTTATTTTTCTCTGTAGCACTTCAACAACCAGCTATTAGATAGGATGTATTTGTTTACTTTCTGCCTCCCGCACTAGACTAGAAGCTCCCCAGGGTAGGGACTGTCTTGCTCCCCACGATAACCTCAGTGCCTGGCGTAACAGGCACTGAAGAAAAAAACAAAGTTGAGAGAATTAACTTACTCGGCAAAAACCAGACCTGAATGAATGAAATCAGTCAGCGGAGTCAGGAAATGGTAGTATCGCACCCTCGTGCTGTGTTCTGTGTGATTTCAGAGGCATTTTACAGCCCTGGTTTCATTTGCATCATACACAAGCCTGTGTGTAAGTCAAGGCAGGTATTACTGACAAGATAACCAAGGAAAAGAGACTCATGTGACTTTCGGGAGGTCGTGCACTGAGTGGCAGAGCTAAAGGTGAGACCCACCTCTTCGCATTCTTCTTTTTTTCTTAAGATTTTGCTTATTTATTTGAGAGAGAGAGAGAGCACAAGCAGGGAGGAGGGTCAGAGGGAGAAGCAGACTCCCCGCTGAGCAGGGAGCCCAATGTGGGGCTCAATCCCAGGATCCTGGGGTCATGACCTGAGCCGAAGGCAGACGCTTAACTGACTGAGCCACCCAGGCGCCCCCCTCTTCATGCTCAACCCAAGGCTCTGTCTCTCTGCCA